GGGATGAGAATGCTTTAGTAGCCCCTGCATTTCTATTTTCCACCACCCCAGTCACACAAACTTAAAATAATATTCTTAAATATGGAAAATTGCCATTTTCCTCAATCTTCGGTAAAGAAATTTTTAGAATTCGTCATTCTGTTTTAAGACTCGTAACTTCAAATAGTAGACAAAAACAACATGACATGTTAATTGAAAATGTGGCTTCAGGGTAAATCCCCTAAGCCCTTCTTCCAAACTGACTGTTACCCCTAGGCCCCAACTCTAGAGAAATTCCAGAATAACCACTGTTCCCTCCACCATTATACCTGAGTCTCTACCATGCTCTCAGAATGAAGGGAAAAAAGGCACAGTCCCTGCTTCCAGGAGCTCCTAGGTGCACAGGAGTCATTGTGAAATGATGGCTGAGAAGGCATGTTAAGAGGGCTTGAATAACAGTCAGCAAAGGGTGCTCGGGGCAGAGAGCTGGAACTGTAGCCAAGGCTCTCCCAGAGGAGGGAACCACTGTGCTGAGTTCTGAGATGCCCTAGAAGTGATCAGGTGAAGGTATAATATTAAGGCCATTTCTCCCTGGGGAGCTGCGCATGAAAAGGAGGGAGGCCAAACAGAGCCAGGTCCCTTCCAGGAACTGCAAATAGTCTAGAAGTGAGCACAGGGTGTGGGAGGCAGGTGAGGCAACCAGGTGGAGAGATCACAGGTGCACATCACACAGGACTCTGTGTGCCTCCAAAGTAGAGGAGACATGCAAAGTGATCTAGAAAGAGACAAGATAGAGGCAGGTAGACATATTGGCAGGTTCTTGTGAAGGCCTGCTGAGGCCCCGCCAGGAGGAGAGAGGAGAAAACATTTCAGCAGGTGGACAGATTGGCCACAAGTGAGATGGAAGGGCAGGAAGAGATCAAAGATGCCAGCCAGCTTTCTGGCTTTGCCAGTGTCCTAAGTTATAGTGCCATTCCCTGAAATAAAACGGGTAGGAAGAGGGGTAAGTCATGAGAGGATACAGCTGATTCAGTTCTGGCTGGGTGCCTGTGGGCTCCAGGAGAGATGTCCAGTAGGCAAATAAAAGTCTAGAAATCGGGAGGAAGATCTAGGCTGAGCCAAGTAGTTTTCCTGTTTCAAGAGGCTAATGGGTGTGAGCGGACAAGCTCAAGAGAAGAGGTGTAGAGGGGTAGCTCTCACCCTCCTGCACATGGGAAGCATCTGGGAGCCTTTAAAATATAGTGTGCCCCAGCCTGGAGTGGGGTCTTTGTACTCTTTATTGTTTTTTAAATACTTCTTCCCTTTTTGGGGGGATATTTAGCTTTATTTATTTTAATGGAGGTACTGGGAATTGAACCCAGGACCTCTTGCATGCAAAGCACGTGCTCTACCACTGAGCCGTACCCTCCCCACCTTTTTTGTTTTTAGACATTAGCTCTACTGATCAGTCAGGGCTGAGAATCAACCTGTAGAGAGCAGAGAGCCTTGGGGGTAGAGATCAAGGAGAAGCTGCCCAGAGCCCTGCAGACCCCACCAGGGGCAGCCGGAGACACAGGGAGCCTGAGACGGGCTGTGAGGAACGTGAACCCAACACTCCCCAATGGCGAAGACGACAAACATGTTTCAAGCACCCACTTACCAGCAGTGTTTGTTCTGACTTTACTAGTTTTCCAGTAATACCGAGTGAGAATAGAAATAACCTGGACACAGGGATCAAATTCAAATGCTGGTTCTGACCATTCTTAGCTGCGTGATTACTGATTAAAAGGTTACCCGTCTGCCACGTGTAAAATGGGGGACATAGAATCGTGCTTGTGGGCTGCTGTGAGCATAATGCAATGACACCTATAAAGGCCCTCCTGACTCTCAGACGTAATTGCTACTATTGTCCCCATTTGGGACACCAAGAAACAGAGGCAAAGAAAGCTTCAAACACTTGCCCAAGATGAGGGTTAAGGTCAGGAATCAAGCCAAAGACTTCGTGGATCCAGAACCCAGGATCTTCTTACAAGCAACACGGCACTGCCCAGGCTCCCTGCTGCAAAACCTGCCTCCTTTTGGCTCAGTTCCATGGCGCCTGTGCTGCACAGATGTCCTCACTTCCTGCCTGCCGGCCCGGTGTCTGACCCTGGCACTCCTCCCTCCATCCCACACAGCACTTCCTTGGGCACACCATCCCCCACGAGGCCATTGCTGTGGCTCTTCGGATGTTTACACGGAAATGCAGGTGGCAGCCCAGCTTTTTGCTATAGCTGCTGCTGTCAGTGGAGGCAAAGAGCTCACAGTTGGTGGAGGAGGCCACTTCTGGTCTCCTCCTTGGCTGGAGAGCTGGATGGAATCCAGTTTCCCTCTGCAACTTAGACATCCAGCATGAGAGATATGTAAGGCCATCTGGCCTCTCAACATACAAATGATGCCCCCGCAATTGTACTTAACATTGTAACCTCCTGGCCCCACCAGGGAGAAGAGGCCATGGCCTGTTGTCCACCAAGTTTTGTTTCCTTGCACGACAGCTACAATGGGGTGAGTTAACACCGGACCAGAAAATCTACAAAGCCCTCGTGTACTATTTCCTGATACTTGCAGGTCACCCAAATACCCCAGATCCTTCAAGTAAACAACTAGTAAGAGGAACTGAGCTGGCTCATCTGTCAGTACCCTGATGGCAGGACTGATTTGGCCTCTCCTGCTCTTGGGATGATCCGTTCTCCTACTGTGTTCCCTTCCCCGAGGGAAAGAGACTGTTCTTTGTTTATGGGCTAGGGAGTATTTGTGGCTCTCTGACCGGAATCTTCAAAATAGAGCTCTTGGTGAGAGTGGAAGCATGGTACCCACGTTTCATGTGCTCAGCTACCCAACAGCCTCATCAAGCCAAGACTGTGGCCAAAACCAGGGGTCCATGCTGTTGAGTGTTGGGTCTGGAGAGCAATGCCTCCACCACTGAGAAGCTGCCGCACCACTTGCTCCCTTGTCCCCATCCAGGGGGAGGTGACACATCCATGGGATGAAAGCCTTGAGGGCACTAGGTGACTGTGGACCAAGCTGTGACTGCCCGGTCCTGTCCCCCATGTGACCCATGTTAGCCTCATATGCAGAAAATCCCCAAATAGACGCCTGCTTGAGTGAATGGGTCACCTATAAGCCAACCGTCCTTGGGACACCTAAGAAGCAACATAATATACACAGTGAGCCACACACTCACTGAAGTCCCCAAGGCTCACAGCTCCCTAATGTGACACCAGGTACCCCCAGCAAACACAAGACTCTTACTTTACAATTGACTTGAGAATTCTACTGCAAACACTGCCTTCCACCTTCCACTTATGAGGTTCTTTCCACTCTGTCCCCTGCACTGGAATTGTGCAATCAGTCCAGAGCTCCTTCATGAGACAGGAGGGAAGGGGGCAGGGCACAGCCATTAAAAGGATGGCAGAGCCATTAGCACCGTGACGGTGGAAAAGTCAACTCCCAGTAGATCTTGAGCTTCAATACACACTCACTGAAATACCGCAGGATGCTAAATGGCACTCGCACAGGTGCCAGGACAGGTTCAAGTCTGACCATAAAAGGTCAAAGGATGAGTAGTGGCCCAATTTCTGGGAATCCCAACACCTTCCACAAAGCGGTTGGAATATTCCTCCCACTTATTAGCATATGAAGATACTGAGTGCATAAAAACTAACAACACCCACCTCATGGCTGCTCTCTCTGTTGAGGGAAACAGCCCACACTCTGTCTGTGGAGTGCATATCTAATTTTACTTTAAACTGGAGCACCCAACCCCCACGCCTCATGACCTTTCTGTTGCCTTCTGAAACTGCCCACCCTGTGGAGTATATATCTCTCTGAATAAATCTACTTTTACTGAACTCTGGCTCTCTCTTGAATTCGTTCCTGGGCAAACCAAGGACCCACACTTGGTGAGGTACATCCCAGGGACCCAAGTAAGACCTGGGTTATGGCCGTCCTCTCCCCCACATTTTCCTGTATCATACATTCCTTCCCAAAAGATCTCACCCTGTGCACTCCAAAATAGACAACACTCATGTGTCCTGACCTGGATCTGCTTCTGCATGTATCATTTTTTATGTGCACTAGAATGTCACCTTCATGAGGGCAGGGATTTGGTTCTGTTCATAACA